CACACCGCCGTACTGGAGCGGTGCGTAGGCCGTGTAGGCCTGAGCTGGGCGCGGCCCGAGGATCCCCTGCGGACGAGGCGGAGGCGGTAGCGAGACGGGGTATGCGTACACGTGCCCAGTCCAGGGCGGCGGCGAGTTGGCGGCGCCTTGATAGCCGCCGTTGTTGGTGTAGCGGCGCCGCTTGTTGTTCCCCTAGTTTGGCGAAGGAGTACCAGGCTTGGGGCCGCCCTGCCCGGGCACAGGAGGCCTAGCATGCCCGCCAGAGGAGGAGGCAGGGGCAGATGGACGCTGCTGGACGGCGAGGGCGGTGTGGGAGACGCCCGAGGGGGAGAAGTCAGCGCCGATCTCGTCCTGGAGGAGCATACCAACTGCAACATCAAAGGGAACGGGAGTTTGAGATTTCTCGATGATTTTTGCAGTCATCTCATGACGGTCCTTGTTGACGCCGCGGAGGAGCTGAACAACGAGTTCATCATTGTCCAGCACCTTGCCGGCGTTCCGCAGCCCGTCCGCGACGGCCTTAAGGCGTGCGCAGAAGGAGGAGACCGGGGCGTCTCCTTGCTTGACGGCGAAGAGCTCCGCCGTGAGCTGGAAGCGCCGAGAGCGCCTGTTGTTGACGAACAAGGACTCGATGGAGGACCACAGCTCGGCCGCCGTGGCTTCTCTGTTGAGGACGAAGCCGGCGAGCTCCGTGACCATGGAGCCGTAGAACCAGCGCTTGACGGCTTTGTTGACGATGTTCCACGCCACGTCGCCGGCACGGTTGGTGAAGTCCGGCGCGATCCAAGCCGCCACATCGTACTGGTCGATGACCTCAAGCATGAGGCCACGCCAAGTCGAGTAGTTGGCCCCTTTCATATCGAGGCGGACGCCGAGGTTGATGTGGGCACTCTCGACGCGCATCGCATGGATATAGGCCGCAGAAGGGAAGCTGGCGACCGGCGGCGCAGTCTGAAGAGGGAGAGGCGTGTGTACTACGGAGGAGGGAGGAGGGGGTGGAGGAGGGGGCTGCGGGATGGAGCCGAGAGGTTGGGAGGAGGGCACCGGAGGCGTAGCCGTGGCGGCGGCGGCGGCGGCGGCGGCCTCGGCGTCCATGGCGGAAGCAGTGGAAAGATCTAAACTGATACCATGATAGAAGATAGGCTAGGGGTTGCAATGCATCACACACATTCATATTCATCCACAGTGGGGTAATATATAATAGAGTACATGAGAGAGAGGGAGAGAGATACACACGCACGTAAACAGACTAACCATCGATCCTAGATGGATGGAAAGATAAGTGCGGCTAACAGCCTTGCATGCGCCATGCAAGGGCGGTGGATGCCTGGAGCGTGCGACTAGCTCGGACTAGTAACACAAGTCCAACAGTAGACCAAATCATAGTCTAACAATATGAATGTAGTATACATGTGTGTACCATTTCAGTGGTGAAATACATGAACAATAGAGCTACAGAAGAAGAAAATGCAAAATTGGTGATTTTCTACAATGAACATTAAATACACAGGTTCACTGTTTCCAAAATCATGATTTTGTCATTCTCTTATGCAGCTCACTTATTATCTTATTTCAACGTAAGTGCCATCAGAGAGGTAAATGTCATGTTAGATCAAAGAAAAATGCCACCAATTTTGCAATATGTAAATCATATGATAATGTGGATTCTTTTTCCATATTTTTTCAAACATTGAAATACGAATTGCGATTTATTGTTTCCAACAAAGAACAGGCTCCGAGCACTAAAAGGCATTCTTGCTGAAATCCTCAAATTATTGCACTACAATACAAATAAAATAAAAGATGGACCGTACGTACGTGTCTACCCGGATGGCGTGGTTAGGAACGACATCATGTGACCATCCTGTTGGAGTGTGACATACAAGAGGCCGACGGTGCCAATGGCCGACGATGCCGAGTGCAAACGGGTAGAGCAGCACGAGGGTCCCCACGTTGAACACCATCCCGAGCACCGCGTGCCACGCTTGGTCTGTGAAAAAGCCCCATGTCGCTGCCTTGCCTATCGCCGCCCCGACCGCAGCAATGTTCACGACGAGCACCGCCACGGTCAGGATCAGCAACAGCACCCAACGCACAGTGTAAAGGTCGGCGAACTTCTCGCCGGAGCAGGCATCCGTCTGCTTGGATGTGAGCCTGAAGTATATGCCCGCCTTCCCCCTGATGAGCTTCAACGCCATTGGCCGCGATCATGTAGAACTGCTCATTGCGCCACTAGTCCAGCAGCGTGATCCCCGCCCATTTCAACTCAAACATGCCGATCACGTGCATCATCGCTATGGCAGCTACGAGGTACATGATGTACATGTCGAACGGTCTCTGGATGTAGTACGATTGCTCGGAGAAGAGCCACATCACCGGGAAGAAGCTGTAGGCCAGGACGAACATCGTGGCGATCGGGTAGATCGACATGTTGAGGTAAGCGATGCGCTGCAGATCGATGCTGCGGGAGAAGAACACCTCGAGGGATCCGCCTGACCACCGGAGCACCTGGTAGAGGCGATCGGTGAGGTTGATTGGTGCCATTCCGCGGAATGCAGCTGGCTCCATGGAGCAATACATGGAACGCCACCCTTGCCAGTGGATGCGGAATCCGGTCACCACATCCTCCGTCGCGATGTTGTACACCCACCCGATGACTCTACCCCATGGACTACCATCCTCATAAGCACACGTCATCAAGGTGGTTATGTCATTGCTAAACCCCTCGTCGACCAACACCGGGGTGATATACCGCTCTTGGATTGCGCCATCCGGTATTGAGTTCAGGAATTGCGTCGAGTTACCCAACTCAGCGGCCTTACGTACCAGCTTGATGCTCTCCGCTCTATATCGTGGTGGCTCCATGCCATAGAGTGCGACTCGATGGAACATGGTGCCTATGCCAAGGTAGGTTGTCCCTTGGAGGCCGTTGAGCGAAAGCATGGTGCCATCGAAGAAGACACGATTGTGGTTGGAGTAGCGATCTGTCAGGTCGACATCGTCGAAGCGTTGTGGTAACTGGACGAAGGCCGTGTTCTGACCGCCGCGAGGGTCGAGCATGAAGCACATAGGGTCACGGAGAGCTTGCGAGTTGTTGATGTAGTGGTCCCAGTCAAAGTTGATGACAAAAGGCGCATTTGAGAGTAAGGCGGAGACGCGGAGCATCACGTTCATGGCGCCTGCCTTCTTTTGGTTGTCATAACCGGGATGCTTCTCCCGGGAAATGTATACGAGCATTGGGAGTCTTTTGTCAATGTTGCTCAAGTCAATTGGATTTTTGGTGTTCGCTGAAGATCCAAGCTGTGGTTTACAACTTGGATAGCCGAGCATGACCTGTCAAAAGAACACAGTAGTTCCAACAATTCGGTTTTTCAAATAACTTTGAGATATTTGCTAGCTGGCAGTCAACCAATTACCTATATTTTATGCTATGGAGATAATACAACAATAAAATTGAGAGCAGTGCAATAAATATTCTTCTTACCGTCCTATGACATGTAGACAATTAGCACTATCGACGATGTATGCAATTCTTGTGATTGCAAAATAAAAATGATGGAGTAATGATTAGCACCAACATAAGCATTGACGGAGGAGTACATATATGGCAACAATTACATGATTCGGAGGCTTGAGGACGTCCTTCTAATATACTCCCTCCGTAAAGAAATATAAGAGCGTTTAGATCACTTTACAGAGGGAGTGTTTGTTAATTTTTCTATAGAGGATGGATCCTAATAAATATGCAAGCAACATTCGTGCATGGCCAAATTTTGAACATGTATAATCGAACTGCTCTATATTACAAATCAGAAAATGGCTAAGGGGTATATAGATATATAGACATATATTAGAGCATACGACAACTAATCTAGCGCATGCAAGAACTTTGTATTAATTTTGTTGGTGTATCTGCATCTGCCGACTGTATAAACAGATTGCTGAGAAAAGATAAATGTGCATCATACTAAATTAATATATTTGAATTTATTGGCAATATAAACCATATGCTCCTATAGAAACTAAATAACAATGTTACACCTTTAGAGATGTATAGGTGCAGAAAAATGTTGTCCAATATGCAATGAAATGGTAAATCTGAGTAAAAGAATATCTACATAAGGTAGAAAATAGTACTTAACAATTTCACAATATTAAAAGATGATGCCCTCGCATTTACGAGGGCCACCTTGCTAGTTCCAAAAGAGCAGAACATTCGATCGACAATCTGATGGATCATCTCTTTATTAGTAAATCACAAAATTAGATCTATTAAATTGTCTACAAACAGATCATATCCGTTTGATATACATAACTGTACCTAAAGATATCATAACCATTAGATAATCATTATTTACCTGAACATATCATAACTCATAAGATCCATAGTCGTCCCTAAACAGATCGCATTTTTTCAATCTGCGTAATCATGCCTAAATGTATTTCAGATGTTAAATCTGCATGATTCTACCTAAGTATATTGCTTCATTTGGATCTTTATACTTGTACCTGAACATATCGTAATCAGTAGACATTCGTAACTATAGCTAGATAATTCCAAATCGATTTATCTGCACAGTTGTACCTAAACAGATCACACATGAAAACTATTGCATGTCTTTTTTATTTCCTAGCAATATAATCATTTTAGCATATATATAATAAATTTCAAAGTTACACCTTGGAAATGTATAAAAGTGTAAAACATCATGCATTTTGCAATGAAGTAGGTAAATGAGAAGAAAAAGATGCACGCACGAGATTACAATATGTACGGATCACTTTTAACACAAAAAATATGATGCCCCCGCATCGCCTTGATAATTTATTTAATTCACTCTAACTCTCTAGGTACATGTGATTATACATTGGGTTTCTTAACACATTTCTATTTCCTTTTCCTTTTGTGTTTTAAGCCACCAACACTGGTGGAAAAAGGGCCTTTGGTCGCGGTTCGCAACTGCCATTAGTCGCGGTTGCGCAACCGCGACCGAACGGGCGCGACTAAAGGCCCCCCCTTTAGTCGCGGTTGCTTAAGAACCGCGACTAAAGGCCCGTCCACGTGGGCGCCAGGTGGCCGTCGGGGCGGAGGACCTTTAGTCGCGGTTCTTCTGGCCAACCGCGACTAAAGGCCGCCGCAGGTTTAGGGTTTTAGCCTCCCCCCCCTTAAACCTGTTTTCTGTTTAATTTGTATTGTTTTATTTCTTTTGTGCTTTATTTTAATTTTGAAGGAGTTTCATATATTCTACGGTACTACATACATGCATATGAATGTACAATTTCAAATAAATTTGAAATTAGAACCAAAAAGAATTCAAGAGGAATATACAATATATATTCAATATCATCGGATAACCATATACAATTTTGAACAAGTTTCCATACATGATTTAATGCATATAAAGTTCTACGTCCTCGTAATAGTGTTCTCCTTTAGGATGGAGGACTTCCCTGCTGAACCATCCAGCTAGTTCCTCTTGAAGTGGTCGGAAGCGAGCTTCTGGACTAAGCATCCACCGGAGGTTATTCCTCTGAGCATTGGTATCACTCGGAACCCGCTCAGAGGTGTATCTCCGGATCATCTCACAGACATAGTATCCACATAGATTGGTCTCCGGTGGCTGAATATCCCCAGCATTCTTAGCCTTTAACATTTTGAATTCTAGCTCTTTTTTGAATTCACCGACCTTTGTATCTACGAACCGTCTCCAAACCCTACGAGGCAAAGAAAATTAAATGAACAAGAGAGTTATTAATTAGTTACTTGATATTAGGAAATGAACGAAATAGGCCGATCGATATAGAGCGCAAATGAATGAAAATAATTACTTCTGCAGCATTCTTCTCATGCTGCCCCAAAGCTTTGGATCCATATTCACAGAGTCGTGGACGAGACATTCTGAGGTGTTAACTTTAATTACTAGCAGAATCCAGTGGAACCTGCGGACACGATACATGCACAGTACGTCATGCATAACTCATCGATTAGCCGGCCACATACCATGCATGGAGTAAACAAAAGAGAATGTGCTCAAGACAGAAACACTCACTCAAAATGGTAAGGAAATAGAATATCACTTTTGAGTTCCTGCTTTGTAAGAAACTGCCACAGGTCTGCCTCCACGTCGACGGGGTAACGCTCCAACACATGTCCATTAACGATGTGTGGGTCAATGAACCCAACATCATGGATGTTCCTTACTCTGCATTCCTTAATCTTCATTCTGCATGTATAATAGCGGACACAACAATATAGTTAGGACATATATATAGTGCAGGCAATATGAACGAGATGGGGTAGAAATTAATAAATCACTTACAGAACGTAGCAACTGATGATAGATTTATCGAGCTCGCGCAGATTGAAAAGCTGGAACAATTCACTCAGTTCAATTTGTACATAGTAATGTTTGAAGTGATGCTCATGTCTAACTTCCGCATAAATATATTCTTTGGCGTTTTTATTTTTTATGTAACCCTTGTACCATTTCAGCAGACCTTTCATTTGTGGAGGTAGATCCTTTTTCTGCGCAGGCTCGACGAGAGGCCCATTCTTGACATATGTAATTACTACCTCCTTCACTGGCGCCTCATCAAGACCTAACAGTTCACGAAGAGTAATACCTAAGTTGGCCGCTTGTTCTCTGGCACTCGTTACAGTCAATCCCTGTGCTGCCGCAGCTTGTATGATCTCGGGGGCATCCGGACAGAAGGCTTCCACTATAAGCGGGGCAATCGATTGTTTACTTTGTTCCCCGAGCTGGGCAACTTGTTTCCCGCTTTTTTTACTTTCGGCCTTCTCCCGCTCTTTGTTCTCCTTGAACATGAGTGCCTGCCTGCGAAGTTCACGTGCATAGTCGTTAGGCAGATTCTTCGCGGCTTGGGACGGTGTGCTCAAAAATGACTTAGCCCACTTCTTTTGCTCATCAGAAAATACTGGCTTGGGCTCGGGCTCTGTTTTCTTCTTGCAGTCCGCCTTCCATTTCTCCAAATCAGCAGCCGCGGCCGCGTTGACTTCCTCGGCACTACGTTCCCAAGACCTTGTGGGGAGAGGCTTCAGTGATGGCTCCGGTACCTTTGTGGTCTTAGGTACATAAGGGTCCGGGTTAATAATCCAGGACTGCTTCTGCTTCTTTGCCGGAGGTGGATTGGGGGGCGGCGTCTGATCACCCGCCGGACGAGGACTGGGGGGCGGCGGCTGATCACCCGCCGGACGTTGTGGACTGGGGGGCGGCGTCGGCTGACGTGACGGAGGTGTAGGTGAACCGCCACCACCACCACCACCACCGCCACCGCCACCACCACCACCGTAGGGGGGTGGACTTGTTGTCCTTGGCGCCTCGCCTGGGAACTTGATAAACTTCTTTTGCCATAGAATGAAATGGCGCTTGACATCTCCAAGTCTTTTCTCCCCTTCAGGTGTAGCAATGTCAATCTCCAGGTCCTCAAACCCTTGGACTATGTCCTCCACCGTGACACGAGCATAGCCATCTTGAATGGGGTTGTTGTGGTGGAGTGCTCCAGGTAAACATGGTAAAGCACTGCCGATGGCTACCTTCATGGACATGTTCCCGATAGGATAATACAGATGACATTCTTTCATCTCCTTTATATCGTCCACGGGGTAGCGAGGAGGCTCCGGTGCAGTAATTTCGACCACCAGAGGCTCCGGTGCAGTAATTTCGACCACCAGAGGCTCCGGTGCAGTAATTTCGATCGTCGGTGCATCTGCACCAGCCAGTGGGGCCTCCGTGGAAGCCACGCTGCTTCTCCGCTGCTGGCTTCCGAGATCCGCTGGATGATCTTCATGCTGCACCCGAGCTGCATCTCTTTCGGCTACTAGTACACTCATGGTTTTCTTCATCACATCCATTTCCGATGCCAACCGCGCCACAACATCTGCTTCCCGATCCATCTTTCTCTTACGGCTTCTGTAACCGTACGGGTCATCGTTCTGGGGGAACCCTATTTTCCACGGAATGTGCCCCATGCCTCGTACACGTCCTCCGTGTTCAGGATTCCTGAGGGCTTTTGTCAGCGCGTCGTTCTCTCTGTTGAACTTGATCTTCCCCTGTTGAGCATCCCTCATTGCGTTAATAAGGGCTTGGGTGGGTTTAATTAATTTGCCCCGGTAAACACACTCCCCTGTCTCCGGGTTCAGCGTTCCCCCATGCCCGTACCACCAGCTTTTGGCCCTTGGGTCCCATCCCTCCGTACCTGGACGGATTCCTCGCGCCCTCAGCTCGTTCTCCATCTTCTCCAACCTAGGCACCCAAATGCGATACCCTCCTGGCCCCATAACATGATTGTACTCCTTCTTAGCCGCATTTTCCTTATTTTTTTTCGATATTTGAATGAACTGCTCCGATTTCTTTTGCTTCACAAATTCTGGCCAATCATGTTTCAGTTTCTCATATTGTCCTTTGAAATCCGGAGTCTTGTTCTGCTTGACAAAGTCATGGGCTAGATTTTGCTTGAATTTCTGGAATGCGTCGGCCATCTTATGAAGAGCGAACTGTTTGACTAGCCTCCTCCTCTCCTTGTTTTCCTCAATCTTGTTACCCTCCTCATCGAATTTGTTGTATTCCGGAGGTAGAACGAAATGTTCCATAAGCTTCTTGAAGCAATCTTTTTTTGTTCTCTTATCGACAAAAGTGAAACCATCAATTCGTGCCTTCTTTGGCTCATTCCACTCCTGGACGGTGATCGAGACGTTGTCTCTAACAATGGCTCCGCATTGGCTGACAAACTTGGTGGCGTTCTTGCGGGGCTCCAGCGGCCTGCCGGTTGCACTGTCGACAACCTCGATGGTGCATGTTTCTCCTTGTTTCATCGTCTTGATTGCGCCACGCTTTGCTTGTTTCGACGATCCGGCCGAGGGCTAAAATAAAAAAGAGTCGCGCGCGATCGAGGAAGACCAATCGGCTTAAGGTCAGGAACAAAGTCAACACAAAACTCAATTACCTCCTCATTTCCATAGCCCTTGGCGATGCTTCCTTCTGGCCTAGCACGGTTACGAACATATTTCTTTAATACTCCCATGAACCTCTCGAAGGGGAACATATTGTGTAGAAATACAGGACCGAGAACGAAAATCTCTTCGACTAGGTGAACCAGGAGGTGCGTCATAATATTGAAGAAGGATGGCGGGAACACCAACTCGAAACTGACAAGACATTGGATCACATCGTTCTGTAACCGTGGTAGAACTTCTGGATTGATTACCTTCTGAGAGATTGCATTGAGGAATGCACATAGCTTCACAATGGCTACTCGAACATTTTCCGGCAGGAGCCCCCTCAAAGCAATCGGAAGCAATTGCGTCATAATCACGTGGCAGTCGTGAGACTTCAGTTTTTCTCCGCCATGTTTATTATTCCCTTTATATTGGACGAGAATCCAGACGGGACCTTCATACTGCTCAGGCATTCAAAAAATATGACCTTCTCTTCTTTGGTCAGAGCGTAGCTGGCACGACCTTGAAACCATTCCGGATGCCGGTCATCAGGGTCTTTCAAACGTTGCTGGTCCTGCCGTGCTTCCTTTGTATCATTTGTCTTCCCATACACGCCCAAGAAGCTTAGGAGGTTCACGCAAATATTCTTCGTAACGTGCATCACGTCGATTGCAGAGCGGACATCTAGGACTTTCCAATATTCTAGCTCCCAGAATATAGATTTCTTCTTCCACATGGCTGCGTGCCCGTCAGCTCCCTTCGGAACTGATTGTCCGCCAGGACCCTTTCCAAAGATGACTTTCAAATCCTTGACCATATCAAATACCTCAGCACCAGTGCGTTCCGCAGGCTTCGGACGGTGATCTGCCTTGCCGTTGTAATGCTTGCCTTTCTTTCTTACTGGATGAATTTTCGGAAGAAATCGACGATGCCCAAGGTACACGTTCTTCTTACAATTTGGCAAATGTACACTTTCAGTCTCATGTAAGCAGTGCGTGCATGCATTGTATCCCTTATTTGACAGTCCCGAAAGGTTACTAAGAGCAGGCCAATCGTTGATGGTTACGAAAAGCAACGCTCGTAGGTCAAATTCCTACACACGGACACCACCCCACAGCTGTAAAAGTTCATCAACTAATGGCCTTAGGTACACATCGATGTCGTTGCCGGGTTGCTTCGGACCTTGGATGAGCACTGGCATCATAATGAACTTCCGCTTCATGCACAACCAAGGAGGAAGGTTGTAGATGCATAGAGTCACGGGCCAGGTGCTATGGCTGGAGCTCTGCTCGCCAAAAGGATTCATGCCATCCGTACTTAGAGCAAATCTTATGTTCCTTGCGTCAGCTGCAAAATCTTTGAACCATCTGTCGATCTTTCTCCATTGCGTTCCATCTGCGGTGTGTCTCAACTCCCCGTCCGACTTACGGTCCTCTTTGTGCCATCGCAACAACTTGGCATGCTCTTTGTTCCTGAACAGACGTTTCAACCGTGGTATTATAGGAGAATACCACATCACCTTGGCGGGAACCCTCTTCCTGGGTTTCTGGCCCTCAACATCGTCACCAGGGTCATCGCCTCTGATCTTATAACGCAATGCAGTGCATACCGGGCATTCATTCAAATTCTCGTATTCACCGCGGTAGAGGATGCAGTCGTTGATGCATGCATGTATCTTCAGAACCTCTAAACCTAGAGGGCAGACAACCTTCTTTGCTTCGTACGTACTGGAGGGCAACTCGTTATCCTTTGGAAACATATTCTTCAACATTATCAGCAAGTTTTCAAATGCCGAGTCAGCTACACCTGCCTCTGCCTTCCATTTCAGCAAATCCAGTGTGCAGCCCAGCTTTTTCAGACCATCATCGCATCCGGGGTACAGCGCCTTTCTGTGATCCTCTAACATGCGATCCAAATTCTCCCTCTCCTTTTCAGTTTCGCAGCGTCTCCGTGCATCAGCAATGGTCCGACCAAGATCATCAACGGGATCATCACGTGCCTCTTCTTCACCTTCCCCTTCACCTTCAGCATCCTCCATGAAAGTATCACCGAAATGAGCAAGATAGCTTTCATCGATGAAATCATCCCCTTCTTCATCTTCTTCCATTATAACCCCTCTTTCTCCATGCTTGGTCCAACAATTATAGCTTGGCATGAAACCGTGCCGAAGCAGATGCATGTGAACATCTCTTGAGGAAGAGTAACCCTTCTGATTCTTACAGATAACACATGGACAGATAACAAAACCCCCTGCTTGTTCGCATTAGCCACTACGAGGAAATCTTTCAAACCCGTAGTGAACTCGCCGGAGAGTCGGTTACCGTACATCCATTGCCGATTCATCTGCATTATTATAATATAAAATATATAATTAACCATCATGCATTTGTTAAACTAACTAGCTACAAACAATATAAATTAAACAATGAACTGCACACATGCATATTTTATCAATGACACACATGCATGAAAGGTTCAAGTTGCTAACCGCGATCGAGGAGGAAAAAATAAATGAGGAACCTCAAGTGTGGCTCCAACACTTCATATCATGTTTGTTTCACCCTCTTAGGGCATTTCATCAAACACCTTGTGTGCATAAGAGGAACCAAAAGCAAACCTACCCCCCCTTGTGAAGCTTGTGAAGAGAAGTGGCACCAAATGGCTAAGTGAGCGTGCTGAACTGGTATATATAGGGGAGGAGCTTTAGTCGCGGTTGGCCTGGCCAACCGCGACTAAAGGCCTTTGCGCACCTTTAGTCGCGGTTGGCCTGGCCAACCGCGACTAAAGCCCCTCACGTGCACCAGCTGGCCACCGAGCGCCCTGGGCCCAGGCCTTTGGTCGCGGTTCGTCTGCCGAACCGCGACTAAAGACTTCATTAGTCGCGGTTCCTACAGTTTCGCGACTAATGGGGCTGGACGGAAGCCTCTTTTTCTACCAGTGCAAATCACTGTCCGACGACTAGTCCCGTACTTCCACTGAGCTTCAAGACTGGGATCTAGCTAGATTCATAAATTTAGAGGAATGCAAAAGGTGTAACTTATAAGTTTTACCAGAATGAACAAATAGAAAAACTTTTACCTGAACAATTCCTGTATGTTGTCCTCTACGATGGTTGTCAGCTTGCTCAATCCATGCACCCGCCCATTGTGTCCCATCAGCCATCCAAGTGGCATGTACACCATCATCTCCTTTGTTGTAGGCATCAGACCGTCGGCGGACGGTTGTAGAAAGGGAATCTATTCTCACCTTGAACTCACCATATTCTTTGCGCACACACCTGTGATCACTCATGAACTCTCCTGCCATACCCCCGACACACGACCTGGTTTTCATCCTAAAATAGTTCTCCGGGGACCTTGGCTCGATGCAATGCTTCCGGCAAAACGGGACCCACAAAGCAGCAAAATGAGCAACGTGGATCATTGCCTCATAGTGCACCAATGAGCCATCGTCGTCAGAGAGGTAGCTGGCGTACTTGTCAATGGGGTAGTCGGCGGCGAGGATAGAGAGGATGGTGTTCACCGTGTACATGACGGGTTCATCCACGGGGTTGATAGTCATGACAAAGTCGTCGATTCCCGGAAGGATGGCTTCGCTGTGCCGTTCCGCCAGGGCGGCGAGGTCCGGCACGCGTTTGATGGGGTTGAGCTTGGGGAGTTGGTTGTTGAGGAGCCATGAGAAGCCGAACCAGGCGTCTGCAACCATGGACGTGGCCCAGAGCCAAATGCCATCGTGGTTCCTGTGCTCTACATGCCACGCGAAGAAGGCTACGATGGAGACCAAGCTTACAAGAATCAAGAACCTGTTGTTACAATGAAAAAATATGATCATTTTTTTTTGATAAAGGATGAATTTTATTGGCTCAAATGGAGCATCGAGAAGATACAATATGAGCACACACCCGGCCTCTGCATAACTAGGATGCACACAGCCAACCCAACACACACACACACATGCATAAACACGCCCACAACTAGCAAGGTCACAAGACCAAAAGCTGTGCATAGACATGGAAAAAAGAAAAAGAAATAGTGAAAAGCTCCAAAGAGATCAGATCAGCAATCGACAAACTACAACTGAGACCATGTCCGCACCAACCATTGACATCACATGGAGGCCGATGATGTTCAACAGCAACGCCTTCAGGAAGGAAGTGACACTCAAGCGCCGCCGTCACCGGATCCAACCACAAAGGCCAGAATCAAAGTTTACACCCTGAATAATAGTCTGAACATATCCGAGCAATGCCTCCAATAAGGTAAGGATCATATTCACAAGTATAGGCCGGACTGCGTGTAGCACTAGTAGTAGTATGAAAAAAGAATGCATGTTAGAATGACATCCGTGCAGACCGACCTATAAGGATGCAGGATGCTTCCCTTGACCTTCATGGTCCGGAATAGCAGCGGCCGGTTGCCGTCGCCGGTGCTGGTTCCAGACATGTTCCCCTCGTCCTCGGCCACCCACACGCCATCCTTGGCGTGTGCTCGCCCCCAGTGTCGGCCACCGGGTCCTTGACTCCGAGGCCCATCGTGCAAGCCGTGGCGGATATGTATCGTACGAGCACCAGAAAGGTTAGGGATATGATGATCTCCCTAGCTAGCTTGTTCGTATCGACGAGATGCTTGTCCGGTGGGGGGTTTATACAGGGCTAGCTAGTCATCGTCTTCGTCGTTGTCACTATAATCCATTGGCCTTCTCCATGGTGAAATACTGAAACTGGATCGAGGCCTCCGGTTGGTTCTGTTTGGACACGGTGCACCGCGGCAAGGATCATATTCGGATTTCTGACCGATCAAATACAACCGGCCAAAACCCACCAGCTAACCAGCATACACAAGGGCCCCCGCGAGGGGCTTAACCTGCATGTTCCCTTTGTCAGCCGGTACTCCCCGGTCCCCACCTCCGCCCATGCCGCTCTCAAGGATCCCAACTGGCTTGATGCTATGACTGTGGAATACCGTGCTCTCATCAGCAACAACACTTGGGATCTCGTGCCTTCTCCTCGGGATGCCAACATCATCTCTGGCAAGTGGGTGTTACGTCACAAGCTCAAGCCCGATGGCTCCTTCGGTCGCTATAAAGCTCGTTGGGTACTTCGGGGCTTTTCTCAGAAGCCATGTGTTGACTTCGACGAGACGTTCAGTCCGGTTGTCAAACCGGCCACCGTGCATGCCATCCTCTCCATCGCGCTCTCCAATTTGACCCGCCAACTCGACGTCAAGAACACCTTCCTGCATGGTAAACTTGCCGAGATAGTCTACTGCCGTCAACCCACCGGCTTCATCGACTCCACTCGCCCTGAGCACATCTGTCGGTTGAACCGTTCGCTATACGGTCTCATGCAGGCTTCACGACTTTCATCACTTCGACTGGTTTTGTGTGTTCATGCTCGGACACCTCGCTATTCGTGCTCTGGTGTGCAGAAGGCACGGCCTTCCTCCTTCTATATGTGGATGATATCGTCCTCACCGCCTCCTCGACTGGATTGCTCGAAAAGATCACGGCCTCTCTCCGCGCCGAGTTTGCCATGACAGAAAATCTTTTGCAAGCCAAGTACGCCACGGAGATTCTAGACAGGGCCGGCATGACTGCATGCAAGTCCGCCGCGACACCGGTTGACACGTCGCCGAAGCTTGCTGCTACTGCCGGCACTCCCGTGGCTGATCCCACTGAGTATCGGAGCCTCGTCGGGGCACTACCGTACCTCACTTTTACACGCCCCGATATCGTGTATGCCGTCCAGGAGGTTTGTCTTCATATGCACGACCCTCATGAGCAGCATCTTACGGCCATCAAACGCATCTTGCGCTATGTCAAGGGCATGCTTTCTCATGGACTTCATCTCTACTCGTCTTCGCCGCACTCCATGATCGCCTGCACCAACGCCAACTGGGCCGGCTGCCCCGACACTCGGTGCTCCATGTCAGGCTTTTGTGTCTACCTCGGTGACAACCTCATCTCCTCGTCGACCAAGCGACAACACACGGTATCTCGCTCTAGTGCTGCAGCCGAGTACCGCGCCGTGGCCAACGCCGTAGCTGAGGCGAGTTGGATTCGGTAACTTCTCCAGGAGCTTCACCGAACCCTTCCTGCTATGGTCGTCTTCTACGACAACGTCAACGCCGTCTACATGTCGACAAACTCAGTTCGGCATCAACGTACCAAACACATCGAGATCGACCTACACCTCATTCGTGATCGTGTCACCATGGGTCAGGTCCGCGTGCTCCATGTTCCCTTGTCTCGCCAGTTCGCTGATATCTTGATGAAGGGACTGCCATCACCGTTGTTTCTGGATTTTTGGTCCAGTCCCAACGTCCGCTCTCCTCCAATTGTGACTGCGGGAGAGTGTTAGACTAGTATGTCATATATCGTGACATATCTCCTAATTCCCTATATTGAGGAGTATCGATATTATTGTGATCTCCCATTTATAGTTGGACGTGGCTACCTGGCGCCCGAGTGGCCGCTTGCGGGATCGAGCGCTCTCCCCAAAAGGAAGGCGGGCTGTCACTTTCCCAAAAAAGCAAATCAGATTCTCACATCATCACCCCACGTCCACGTGATTCCGAAACCAACTGACATCCCAAAAGGAAACTACTCGACGTATTCATGCTACTCAGGAAATCACCTCCGCGTGCATTTATTTGGGTTTTAAAAAAAAATCAAAAGCTATAACTTTTGATTCGTGCATCGGAATTCAGATCCGTTTTCACCCTTGGGTTTCTCACGACGTGTACTTCAAAACTAGATCCCATATGGGTACATTTTGACAAACTTTTTTCGCATGCAACTTTGGGTTGTATTGAGGCAACTGTAGTGCTATGAGAAAGCAACTTTTTTCTAGTATGACTGTCTATCAATGAAAAATCCTTATACACATCTGCATATAGCAATTGTTCTAGCAAACTCTAAGCAACCGCCCCCTCTAGTAGAAATCCACACAATTGTTCCAGCAAGATCCAAAGCAATTATGCCTAGTAAAAACTCAAAGCAGTTATCCTAGCAAACCCAAGCAATTGTATTACAAAAAGAAAGTGCAAAACCAATCAAATGTATTACCAAATCACAATGCAAAACTGTTCTAGCAAAACCGGGCAACTGTCCTACAAAACCAAGCAACTACACTATCAAATCCAAGCAACTGCATTACTAAAAACCAACTATGAAAAAATTGTCCTAGCAAAACCAAGCAACTGTCCCTAGCGCTACTACTTAGATTGTCTAGTTTAGACAGAAAAAACATATGACGAACTTGAATAGCCTTTGTGGACAACAATATGATGCCCCTCCCCATGCAACTTATCTATTCTAGAAAAAATCCAAAACAACTCAATTATTTTGGTTTTAGAAAATTTTAGAAAATGCACGTATTTATTTTGGTTTTAGAAAATTTTAAAGACCATAACTTTTGATTCGAGTATCGGAATTTAGATTCGTTTTCGCTGTTGGATTACTTGCGACGAGTACTTGAAAACTAGATCCCATATGAGTATATTTCGACGAACTTTTTCTTAGAGCAACTTTGGGTGCTACAGAGACAACTTTAGTTCTATATGAAAGCAACTTCTTCTTACTTGGCCTACTATGATTGCCAATCAACAAGAAGTCCTTATAAGTTGCCTCCAATGACTATCATATTCACTAAATTGATATAAGGTGTCTACCACACTATCGAGTATGTTAACACTATGTTTCAAATTATAGGCGACATGAGCTACACCGACAAACAACTTCTCCTAGTACCATTGCCAACTTTAGCGATGACATGCAATCGAGCATCATTGTTAGGCAATTAATTATCATTGGTAAGTTCTCATGATTTGTTGGGGCAGTTGCTCGGATTCGTTTTGAACAGGCCTTTTTCATGTGTTTTTGGTAATGCAGTTGCTTCGTTTTGCTAGGCAGTTGCTTGGATTTTTTTGCTAGAACAGTTTTTCATTTTGTGTTTTCTTTGTAATTGAGTTGTTTTGGATTTTTTTCTAGAATAGATAAGTTGCATAGGGAGGGGCATCAGATTGTTGTCCACAAAGGCTATTCAAGTTCGTCATATGTTTTTTTGTCTAAACTAGACAATCTAAGTAGTAACGCTAGGGACATTTGCTTGGTTTTGCTAGGACAATTTTTTCATAGTTGGTTTTTAGTAATGCAGTTGCTTGGATTTGATAGTACAGTTGCTTGGTTTTGTAGGACAGTTGCTTGGTTTTGTAGGACAGTTGCCCGGTTTTGCTAGAATAGTTTTGCATTGTGGTTTGGTAATACATTTGATTGGTTTTGCACTGTCTTTTGGTAATACAATTGCTTGGGTTTGCTAGGATAACTGCTTTGAGTTTTTACCAGGAATAATTGCTTTGGATCTTGCTGGAACAATTGTGTGGATTTCTACTAGAGGGGGCGGTTGCTTAGAGTTTGCTAGAACAATTGCTATATGCAGATGTGTATAAGGATTTTTCATTGATAAGCAGTCATACTAGAAAAAAAAGTTGCTTTCTTATAGCACTACAGTTGCCTCAATACAACCCAAAGTTTGCATGCAAAAAAAGTTTGTCAAAATGTACCCATATGGGATCTAGTTTTGAAGTACTCGTCGTGAGAACCATCAAGGGTGAAAACGGATCTGAATTTCGATACACGAATCAAAAATTATAGCTTTTGAAATTTTTTGAAACCCAAATAAATGCACGTGAGACAAGATCGTAGGT